CTCGGCCATATCTCGGGAACCGTTCGTCGTATGACTTAGGGGTAAAAAAAATTATTGGGTAAATCGGTTATGAAGAATCGCTGGAAAATATTTTCAAGTTCTAAAAATGACCACCAGAGGACGCAACTGCCATCTTAAATTTTAAAATTGCATTTTCTTTCAATTTCGCATAATAAACTAAACATTCTTTTTTCACATTTTTAAAGAGAACCAGTTTATCTATCATTTTCGTAAAAACAAGAACTCGGTTATTTAAAAAACAAAGATGGCGTGGGGCGTTCAATTGTTTTTGCAATTATTGATTTAAGTTCTTAACCGTTTGACCAATTGTAACGAATATAGTTAATTTAGTTGTGAATCCTTCTCCGCCAGGGGGCTAGTTTTGACATTATCACCCAAAAACCTAAAAAAATTTAAAAAATCAAACAGAATGATGACTTTTTCTTTATGAAAAAGTAGCCAAATAACATCCAAAGAGGCCAGTGAAAACCGTTTTTCAAAATCTCGTTCCTAACCTCAAATATTGAGAAAATGAGATTAATTAATGAATTAATAAAAATGCTTAAATTGTATCTTATTTGACGTATTTCCGGTATTTTTCGATGGCGCGAAAGAAAAGCACCCTACACTTTTAGGTAGGCCTTGGAAAATTAAACAAATGAAACACGATGCATTATAAAATAATAACAGCCATAATTTGTAAATTATTCTGCTGTGTTTACATTCAGAAAGTGCAGTTTTTTGAATTTTAAATCTTTTCTGAAATGCCGATTTCAAACCAAGAAGCATTTAATATACTGGCGATATATTTGGAGCTCGATTTTGAGTGTTTTCAATGCGAACATCGCCGCCAGCATATTAAATGCTTCTTGGTTAGAAATCGGCATTTTAGAAAATATTACAAATTCAAATAACTTGGTAGGTAATAATGACCAATAAACGCTCGCCGCTTAAAAATACTAATACTTCAAAAGATTTAGTGTATACTCACATTGCAATTTTGCAACAAATCTTCAACATGTTCTGAAACGACATCCTTAGCATACAAATTTTCAGGATCCAACCAACATGTGCAAAATATGCAATGAGCAAGAAAGAAAATTTAAGTAGACATCTGTTAACTCATCTGTAATACCCTCGGTAATACCATACCATTGTATATAGGTGTATGTATAGGTGTATATACAATGGTAATACTTCCAAATATTTAAAGTGTACACATTGTAATTTTGCAACAATCCTTCAACATATCATGAAACGACATCTCTTCAAAGGACTTAAAATGTGCACAGTGTGATTATATAACCAACTACTGTACCAAGCACGTAAGAAGGAGAAAGATCACGCATCATCCCCCCACTTTCGCCCCCACTGTTCATATTCTATTAATTGCACTTATTAATGTCCACCAACGGGGCAAGTTGGCTTTTCCTATAGACTCTCAATTAGTCATCTGTGGGGATACTATGACACAACAAATATTGTATCATGTGCCGGTACCATCAGTACAAAGAAATGTGAGATAGGCATATGTTAACTCACAATATTTTCAAGTTTTTCAAATGTGTACAGTGTGATTTTTCTACACATCACAATCTATCTCAAAGGATTTAAAATGTGGACCTCGATGCGGATACTGCAATGGCATTAATAGAAAAGTTCCAGTAAATGTTAGGTAGTCTCAATCTATCCCATACACAGGTTGTTCCTCGGGTTGTTCCTAACTATGATGTAAACACGAAACTAATTCTTTGGCTCAATTTATGAGTAAAAGTCCATAGGTACCGCCCACGATTTTTAGCGCATTTTTGAAAAAAATACGCTATTATATTCGTTATGGCTGGCTCGGGCTGTCTGGCTGGCTGTCCGGCTGAGATCTCAGCTATTACAATTGCTAGAGACTTTAAATTTTCCTCGAAATTTTCACTAAAAGCTTTCTATTATAGTGTAGATGTGAAGGCTCTAGTCTATTTTGAGTTACATTACTCGTGAGATGCATAATTTTAAACTTTGCTAATAAAATACCTCGTAAAATACTGATCTGCATTACCAAAACTTGTTTAATTTTTTCCTCGGTTTTTTCTTTATATCACCTACAATTTTTAAGATAAATATTTCGCTCAAATTTGCAAAATACCAAACAGACATAATTTTGCGGTTTCTTGTAATTTTTTCGTGTCTGTGTGTCCGGTAGGCAGGTGAATGAAAATATACTTTTTAAAACGGTCCAGTTGGCCCTGGCTTTATTTGGATATCTTGTTTTTATCAGTTTTGACAGTTGCTATTAAAAATTGTATTTTGTGTTTGTTTGTTTATAAATTATGTGCGGTGAAATTATAACACCCTGTAGATCGGTAACGAAGCGTTTGCGGACCTATGTTTGCATGAACTTTTAGTCATAAAATAAGCCAAAGAATTAGCCCCTTCCGTATTGACATCATAGGAACACCCCGAGGAACACCCTTTATACGAGGTTCGTCAGGATCGGCGATACAACGTTAGTCTTATAAATAAAAATGAATGTTTGTCTGTCTGTCTTTCCCTCGGTCTTTCCCTTATGCCTAAACCTCGGTCTAAACCGTTCATCCGATTGTGATGAAACTTTGGGGAGTGGTTGGACCGAGAGTTGAACCTCTAAAAACACCATAGAATAAAACTGGGATACATATGACATCTACAGGGTGTAGCATCTTAATTCCTTAACCATAAAAAATATCGAAAAAAATGTAGGAGCAAAATGGTTCACTATATTACCGTCGCCATGTTTCTAAAATATTTCTAGTCACCAGGCGCGTACTGTAGGTATTCTAGTGGCGATCGAACTTCGAGTTTTTTTTTAATAGAACACCCCTTATTTTACCTCAAAATTTGACAGTTTTTCGAATTTATAATTTTGCGGTGTCTGTCCGTCCGTTAGCACGATATCTCGATAGCGAATGGACCGATTACGATAAAATTTAGTAGATGGATTCTTTATTACCTATACGATGTATTTACATTCCTTACTCCACCTCCGAGATAAATCAATAAGCAGATTTTAATTTGTATTTTTTTCGAATCCTGATCCCCGGTGACTGTACTTACTAATAGTTTGTTTATGGGGGGTGCCATTTGGAATTTTAAAAAAATATGACATTTGGCGAGAAGTACTTACCTAAAATCAAGCCTAAAATTATGTGACAGAGGAAGACGTCTTAGTCTATGCTCCAATTCAAAACTTATCCGCCGGCGTGATTTAATTTCTCTAAAAAAAAATTGAAAAAACTCTCAAATGTTGAGGGAAAAAAATCACAACAGCGAAATCGTTACAGGTAAGGGCGAGGGTAAGGGTATAGGTAACATGTTACATAAAAAAAGTGGTAAGTACTTAACAAGTACTTTTTTCCAAATGACCAAATCTCTAATAAAGCATGGGTTGTTCCATCTAAAAAATCGCAAGCTTGATATGCCACTGGATTACAGCACGCCCCTGGTGATCAAATATATTTCATGACGACGGTAATTGTGTACAATTTTGCTCAAAAGACTTTAGGTACCTATCTTTTATGGTACAGGAAGTATCATCCGAGGGGTGTTAGATCCTACACCCTGCAATTGGTTGAACGGTAATTTCATTTATTAGCCCTAACAGGCGAGTCTTCATATTTTTTGCGACAGTAGTGGCAAATACCCCTATTTAAAAAATGTCGAGACGCACGTGGGGTTACCAAAAATGCACGTAATTTATTTCTTTGGATTTAGGCATTGAGATACCTACTGTTTGCTAACAAAAATGCGCCAAAAACTCCCACCCTCTCATTGGAGAAGAGCCCGCTATTATTTTAACCGAATATTAGCGACAAGAGGTAATTATTTAAGTCTAAATGCAGAAAACGCCTAGGGGTGTTTGACGCTAAGCGCTAGACACTATATAAATATTTTAATAAATCTTCAATTTACGCATATCAACCCTTAGGCAAATAATGTTTGAGTACACGCTCTATATTAATGTAGAAAATATTTTCGAACTATTCCGCAGTTTCACTTTGTAGAAGCGTTTCAAAAGAATAATAAAAAGTTATAAATACGCATCGACCTTCACCCCTTAAATTAAATGTGAACTTCCACAGAGATATGTGGTCGAGTTTCTCACCCTTAAGACTATTAGTTATCTAATCGCAATACGTTTAAAAGGCAATTAAAACAAGGCGAGACACGGGATTTCCGAAGTTTCTTTTAGAGAAGTTTTCCGCCGTTAAGTCTCGCAGCGGGCGCTACAATAATGAGGAAATAAATAAATTCGAAATTATGTTAACCTTGAATTAGTGCAAATAATTATCGTTAAAGTTTCTTCTTCTCTGGTAACGGTGTGACGTAGGCGAATCGCGTATTATTTGGTAACAGGTAGAGATAAGCACCATCGGAAACCGGTTGAGTTGTAAAATGACCTACAAGTACGTAAACTACTTCTTCGTGAGTCGTCACATTCTTCCATGTTTGAGCGTTAAATAAAACTGCAAACATTTCTGTCAATCACATATACGACCCCTACTAACAGTAAGAGGATTTGACATGCATTCTTTAACATGTTAACGAGGTCCTCTCAATATACCTACACCCCTATTTACTTTCGCCCATTTCGAGCGTACGACCGGAAAGAGCTAATTTAACCTTCCCATTCATTTCTTTATGAACGCACCGATTATAATTGATAACAATTTGCGTTAAAGCGGCAAGAATGAAATACAAAAAAAATCAATTCGTCCACGGGAATATTACTTAATAGAAGGTGAATAACCTTCCCATTACTATTAAAGGTGTGCGCATAAGGGTTCTTAATTGTTAAATTTATCCATTTAACTGTACCTTCGAAGTAGGTAGATAATCACATCGAGTGCCACGTATTCGAATCGTACAGTTAGTTGTGTAATTAGCGGAAAAAAACGAAACATTTCTAAACTGCATCGCAGCCCGTCGCCGCCTTTATCGGTGTTTATCACGCATCACAATTCGACACTCACCTGATAATCCTCTGGTATCGGCAAACACCTGCAACGCAATCCAGCACAACGTCGCCGTAACCCCAAAGAATGGTCCCCACAAACTAGGGCCATTTTGTACACACTTCATGCTTAAAACTTCACCACACTCACAAAGAAAAAAAAAACACAAAACTAAAAGAAAACCATAAAACCGAACACCAGATTCACTCCTAATCCGTTAATTGTACCTCTTGAACATAACGCGTTTATTATCGTAAAAATGTTAAAATTCGCGATTCGCCGGCAAAGAGAATGACAATAATATCCTTCTAACCGCCGCCGCTCCGCAACTGAAAGCATGTCCCGCCGGTTGCCGATGATCAAAGTTGCGCGCTTGCCCTCTTACCTCAACTCAGGTGTTCCAATAACCAAAGCAGGTTCTGTATACTTTTTCCATTACAAGTACCGGTAACTATTCGAACTCAACGCCTATTCGCTCATTAATTAATTTGTTGCTAACCTAACGCAACCTTTCGCGTCGGGGTTAAGCCGAAATCTCTCGGACATTTCGTATGTACAGCGGTGGCGAAGGATTTACCTTCTGTTTTAGGATGCCATTAGGGGAATATTAAATTAGAAAAAAAAAACGTAAATGTATTAGTGACGCGTCGCAAACTGGCTTCTCTTCAAATTTATTCAGTTCCGGTTTAAAGTGAATCTTGCTAAGGTTGGCTCGTGTTACACGTTATGAATAATGCCGTAACATTGTACTTTTTTTGTTGTCTGATACGTTACCCCATCGCGAGAACGATTGGGGTAGTAGTTTCATCAAGGTTGAACGGCCGAGAATGCAAATATCTTTGTAAATGTTCAGAATATAAAGACATCAAGTTAGTGCCGACAATTAGATCGAAACAGCTACCGGGATCTTTCTGGAAATTTACAGATCTGGCTGATAATGTATCAAGCCATCCCGACTTCGACCATGCCGCCAATTTAAACCCCGCTATTGGTCATTGGTCATGGCGGTGAAAATACATGAATTTGATATACAAAATACATTGATGAAAGAAAATGAAAAATGTGTGCGATTAATCGATTATTTAAAATTAGAAATTAGAAAAATAACGAAAAGCTTCACGGAGGAGCTATTATACAGGGTGGTGACTTGCGTAACGCATCATAGCGATTTCAATGTAAAATTCATAACATGCGATTATTGGCTCCCCCAATTATAAATTGGAAAAATAAAACCCGTATCTTTTTCAATAATCTGTGATGCCATGGAATTTTCTAAAACAAAAAATATCAAGTTATCAATTAGCAGCAGTTCCACATGGATTTTATGATCGACTTTTTATTACTGTATTGCAGTTAATGGTGACTTATTCGAACATTTATTGTAAATTGTTATATTAGGAAACCGTTTTTAGTAATTTGGTCTTTCTTTATGTTGAATTCGCTAATACTTTTTGATAGAATTTGATTTGTTTTATAGCAGACATTCCATGGCATGACGGATAATGGCGTAGTTTTTGTATTATAAAATTCCATGGCATCACAGATTATTGAAAAAGATGGGGGTTTTATTATTTCCAATTTTCCGTCTTTATTATGCAAAAAATTGAAAACTAATACGGTTGATTGACGTAAAAATTTTTTTCTACAAAAAACCTTAATACATTTTTGCTCTAAAATAATTTGCGGAGCCAATAATCGCATGTTACGAATTTTACATTGAAATCCCTATGATGCGTTACGCAAGTCACCACCCTGTATATGTGGCTCTGAAGATGGAGGTTTAGAATTATCTCCCCAACATTACTTGGTAGGTATACCAAATGCATTCATTTCTTCCCTTCTGATATTATCAACATTGTTCTGTCGATATCGATATTAACTTTTAACGCGTTTAGTAGCAAATCTAGTTTGGAATGTTGTCTCTTTCTTCCAGTTCCGTTGCAAAACTCCACACCGGGATCAAGACGATTAAGTAGCAAGGGCAGGGCCGTAGCCAGATTAATTACTAAGAACGGGCAAATAAATCTCCAGAGCGGGCGAAATGTTAATAATTTGCTTTGTCTCGCGCAGATGCTACCCGCTGAAAAAATTCGCCCGTCTGTCTGTCGTTCCGTGCTATAGCTCAGTCTCTAGACCTTATATTGACTTCGGGTTATGGGATCCAGGTGTGCAACAGCCCTGAGCAGGGGTGACAGGTATTTTCTAGAATTCTAAGAAAAAGAAACACCGCCAGATTATTATAAATTTCCATCTATAACATTGTTAATATAAAATAATTGTTTATTGTTCCGTTTTATTTTTGTCCCCCAATACTTTTGAAGATGTTAATATAAGATCATTAAATAATCTACACCTTTACATAACGATTCTATTGTTCTAGAATTTTTGTACTACCTCAAATATTTTTGTGTCCTTGTGTGATTTGATTCACAGAGTCCACAAGCCACCCTTTAACAATTACATGGACATAAAAGTATAGCCCTTTCTAATCTCATTCTATAAACATACAAACTTTTAATTTATAAGACTGAGATGTCTATATCCCGTCAAATACCCTGTATATTTCATCGTCGGATGCAACCAGTCAAGTAGTTGGAGATTTTGGGGACATGAGCCACCGCCGTCGCCATCTGTTGATTTTTTTGTAACTTCCGCTAGAGGCGCTAGATGTTTTGGCTTGGCGTCACTTAAACAGCTTTTTGGTAGCGGAAATATTGCATTCTGAGTTATATTCATAGAGTTTTTACTTTGTTCTTGTGTTTGAGTTATATTCAGCCACTTTGATATCGGGTCAAGTATTTTATATAGTTCAGTATGTTTACGTATGTACCTATATGAATTGTGCAACTTGTTATATCAGGTATGAGGTATTTTCCATCTAACATGTAATTTACAAGATGATAATTGTTAACTAATGTCCATGTGCTTGTGGAAATCTACGTTTCCTCCGTTTTTGCCACGTTGAAGGCACAAAATGATCCAAATCCAAATTTCCGGGTTTTCAGAATATGTTTATAATAAATGAACTCGCACACATTAAAGCATTTTATTTAAGTGTTCCTGTCCCACTGATCCCCGAGTCATTATATTATGTTCGTATAACGTAAGGGGGCCCCACCTTAGACAATCTGATCATGCGCCATTCCATTCTTTTGTTTTAAATTTAACTGGAACTGTGTTGATTGTAATGCTGGGATTGCAACGTTGCCACTTTGCCCTATAAATCTGTCATGTTCGCTTCGAACCTGGGGTTGGGTTAAGATCAGTTCAAGACGCCGACGTTGTCTTTATGACAGATTTATTTAGCTTAACCATTTGGATGGCATTACGGCTTTCATACTAGCACTACTTAGTGCTATTATGTTCTCTATGCACTGATAAAAATAGGTTACCACGACCATAACCGTTTTCAAGTAATCAATTATCAAGATACCATCTGCATCCGCCATTTAAAGTCAAAATAACTTAAAAACCATAAATGGCAGATATAGACATGTGGGTATCAAAAGAACTGAAATTTCACGTAGAATCCAAAAATGCAATAAAAAATAGGGGTTGCCATTTAAAATAACGCAGTTACTATCTACTTCCGGTGTTTCCGGAAGTGTTTACATTGATTCGGCCTTCAGAGTAACCCCTAAGTACAAATTTTCAAAAACCTACCTATTTTATTTTCCCAGAAACGTTTAACTAAATCTCCCAAAAAAACACCCTGTATATAAAACAAAATCGTGTATATAACACTACTTATAACTCAAGAACGGCTGGATTTTCATGATCATTGATTTGTTAGATTCACCTCCGACCCGAAAACAAAATAACTACTAAAATATCGAAAACAAACACGAAAAAAATATAAAGAAAATTATTGTAACAGTAAATAAGAGAACTAATGACAACAAGTCAACTGTCAAATCAAATGTTTTCAATCTGATCAACCGTCACATCTAAAAGTATCAAATTAGAAAGTATAGTATACCTAGGTATAGGTTATTCGCGTTTCGATTAAAGGTCAACCCGCGGGAGCGGGACGGACGCGGGATATATTACTACAGCGGGTTATGCAAGCATGCATGCAAAATTAAATACTTAGACATATCTTAAGTCACAATACTTCCAAATATTTAAAATGTGCACATTGTGATTTTGCAACACATCACCCTGTCCTGAAACGGCATCTCTTAACTCACAAAACCCCAAAGGATTTAAAATGTGCACACTGCAAAAGTTTCGAGTGCAGAGTAATATTTTGGAGAAAATGTTAATACCGGCAGATTAAGAGTGACTCAAAACAAACTAAACGCGATCATCTAGGTCGAGTACACTTGCGATCTTTGATATTATACTATTCACATTTTGTAAAGCTACGTGTTAATGCTTTTGACCCGGGGAAGGCTACACATCAACTCATGCACCCGGAGACGTAATATATTTCAACTTTATATAAACCTTTCGCCAGCAAAGATTGACGGTCAGAGAAGACCTTATCCCGGTCTACAATCTGTGTTTTTCTAAAGATGTGAGCGACACCTGGGTCGAAACGAAAAGTGTTTTCGTTCAACATTGGCACGATCCTATTCCGGAAGTCGCCCGCATCTTTAAAAAAACACAGATTGTAAATTGACACAAGGTGTGCTGTGACCGGCAATCTTTCCTGGCGTGAGTTATATATGCGATCCACGTTCACGTCCAACGATTTAACTTAAAAATCTATGGTGGTCAATGCAGCATCGAATCAGGACTGGAAAAATCAGAAGGTATTGCGGTACTTTTGGTTTTGGTTTGAAGTGTGGGATTAATAAATTCCATGTTGGTGTAATTGCAAATGCTTTAAATATTGTTTTTGGCGATTAACCAGTTGTGGTGTATTTCTAGAAGTAGTTTTGGAATCGAGTTAGGCATTTTTCTCTCAATTTGGAGGATATAAATTTGGATTTATTAATACGTAAGTGGCTTAATTACCTTTGGTATCTCGTGTATTCTTTTTAGGATTACGCCATTCGCAGTTCTAATTTTCAAGTCTACATCCACGTTTGATGGGGACTTCCAGTTGTAGTCCACCTTGGCTCCTGTCCAGCTATGCAGTCGTGAGCGCAGGGACAGCACATTTTTTGGATTGGCCTGCCAACGGTGCTTGGCGTGAGAGTCATTAATGAGTGTTAGCTTCTCTAGCCTATTGTTGCGGGATCGATTTGGTTTCGGCGACGTCTAGTGTATGTGTGTGCCTTGGGAGGTTGCGGTGTTGGCGTGTTCGGTCGTGGATGCAGGTGCTTTGGTTGACTCATTCAGCCGACGTGGTTTCCGCTGCCTTGTTTTCTTTACCTTGTTTTAGATGAATTGCGGGAAGGC